TGGCAACTTGCTCAGCACTCATTGTACTGATATAAGCAAGGACCATTCCTTTCTCTTTTTCATTCATTTGTTTGCATAGCATTTTCATTAAAAAAAAATTATTTGAGTCTTTGGGCCTCCCTCTTGTTCTGACATAAAAGAAGCAAAAAATAAAAAAAAATTGCCCCAAATTACGTATGTATGGGGTAAACATAGCCCCTTATTTGCTCACGTGGGATGATCTGCAAATCGGGCGTTACTACTGTACAATATATAATACACATTAAAATATTATTTTAGCAAAAATTTTGCCTATTTTAAATCCTGACCCGTTTGACCCGGGTTAGATTAATTTTCGACCCGTGATCCGGGTAATACCTCTACTCTTTATCTTGATCTTACACAGTTATGATGAATTAAGCTTTTTAAATTTTGTAGTAATTTATTAAGAAAATAGAGATTTATAAAAGCGAATATAATAATAATATAAACGTTTTTTAAACCAAACAAGTTTAGATTTATTTTATCTAATAAAAATTTATAATAATTGAAAAAAGAATATATAAAAATAACGATGCTATATCTAACAAAAATTTGAAAATTTAAAATTTGCAATAATTTGCCTATATATTAACATTATATTATTAGAATTTATTATTATTAATTACAGTATTCCTTCAGTTAGCAATTACACTTGTATTTGTTATTTTTTTGGGCAGATATCTGTAAAATTACCATCAGTTAAGAATGTGAATCCGCACTTAATCATAATACTATTTTGAACTTCGGTTATTAGATCTTTAAAACCAAAATTTGTTAAAATTGCTATGTCATCAGCATGTTTTTTATCGTTTAGGAAACCAAAAAATTCTCTAGATATTTTATGATTGCAATCGGTGCAAAAAGTAGTGGGGTTGCAGAAAAAGAATTTATCAAGCCCTGGTCCAATTAATGGAGGATTAAATTTTGGATCTGGTGCTGCAAATAATGCAAATGCAGTTTCTTGAAAGCAGTAATCTTTGTTGGGAGTTTGGAAACATAAAGAATTCATGATTGGGAGGTATAACATGATGACAACAACTGTAGCTATTGCAACCGGGTTTTTGTTCTGAATATCACTACTGCATCCAGTTAAAGTGAGATTTTTTCCTAAGTCAATTATATTGTCGCTACAACGTGGGACTAAAAATTTCATAAATAAATAAATTAATTAATTAACTGAATGTTATATTAAATAGCAGGCTACTAATTAAGTTAAGATAAATACAGCTGCAAGTAGAATTAGCGAAAGTCACAAGATCATTGAGTTTTTTGACGGGATCAGTATCGGTTAGAACGGGTAACAGAAGAGCAAGAGAACTAGGTGGTAAACACGTAGTAGCGTTCCCAATGAATGCAATAATAGCATTGACACAAGGTGCAGTAAGATTTTGAAGTGGATTTGTTGGATTTGCTTCTGTTAATGCAGATGTAAGTTGTGTAAGTTGTGATTGCAATATACTCGTAGGTGATCCTAAGCCCACTATAGACAAGATTAGAAGAATGACAAATATTTTCTTCATCTTATGCGAAATTATATTATTATTAGAAGATTATTAATATTGTTTTTTTCACGTTATGAAAATTATTATTCCTATAGTGCCTCTTAATGTAAGGTTAGCGCAAGGTTATAGGACATATTAAACTGACAAATTTTATCTTGTTTATATAATTTTAATAAAATTTTAATGACGTTAATATTTTGCTAATCTTTATCAATTTTAATTTCTTTTCTTATATACTCTTTAAATTAAACTTTATTATATAATAAAAAAAAGTAACTCTTTTACTATATTAATGATTTATCTCATGAATTTAATTTATATAAAGTAAATCACTACATATATAATGCTATAATTTTAAAAAATATGTGTTTAAAATGTGAAAACTGTATAAAATATTTAAATCTGTCTTCATTTTGAATAAATAAAAATTGTGTACACTCCATTGACAAAAGCCTCCGACTTATTTTTTATATGCAAATCAGTCTTTACACAGTAAGTAAAGTTGTTTATTAGACGAGTTGCATATAATTTGAGAATTTAAGAAAATTTTGATGATATTTTTTTTTGATAATTTAGATCTTTATAAACAAAAAAAAAACAGTTAAAATTTTTTTTATGGTAACGTATTTTTGAAACTCTTGGGATTTTTTTTATGAAAATTTAACTTACTGTATATGTATCAGAACACGGAGAATAACTTAATTAAGACCTTAACTAATGTCAACAATATGGTTTTCCATGTTTAATTAAAATCTTTGATTTAAAAAAAAATTGATTTTAAAATTTTACATAGTGAATCATCATAGAAATATAGTCAAACCTCTCTATAATCCACGCTTGGGATAAAAAAATGGGATTATAGACAAGTGTGATAATTATAGAGGTCAATATATTATATTTAAGATATAAATAAAATTATTAGTTTTTGTGGCCGGGTCATCATAAAAAAATTTATAAAGATTTTCTAGATCACCGGGTGAAAAAAATCTAGCATTTTTTTTTAACCAATTATATTATAAAAAAGAGCTAATTTTTTTTAATCTAAAATTTTTTTCCCGGGCGGAAGTCTCACCTTTTACTATTTATATTCATGAGAAACGAATAATTTATTCATATGGCCTAATAATAGTTTATTTTTTAAAAAAATATGCTTATAAAGAAAAATGTGCTTATATAGGAGGTGATAGAGAGATCTGACTGTATGATCCTAAAAATGAAATATATGTTATATTGTATAACATAAACTTTTATTTTATTAGACGATTCTACTATAAATTATTAGAAAAAATTTTAAGATATCAAAAATGTGCTTTTTTATATTAAACAAAAAGTTTTAATTAAATACAATAATTCCAAAAAAAAAAAAAATACCCCGTATTGTAACATGCGGTTGCAAATTGATATGCCTTTGGATCAAACTTGTAGATCGCTGCATGCGTGATTGTAAATGATTGGGCTGGAGCGGAGGGAAACGGAGTGTAAGTCCTTTCTATGGTCTACTAATTTGGGTCGATGTCCGGCTCCCAC